TCTATAGTACGACCCAGAGACGAGATTTTATTATTTGTAAATTCCTCACGGCTCCCTTGAACATCTCGCTATTTTTGAAGAATTAATTAAAAGACCCCTCTCTCCGGGGAGGGGGGGGGGCAATGACTGCAGCAACAAAATTCCGTCACAGTAATAATGCAGCCAACAAGATAGTGTTTTTTCCTTACATTATCACTGTATAAACGATATCAGAAAACATCGTGTTTTGTAGCCAGTTGCTATTGGTGAAGTATTCACCATATCGTCACAGATTAAAAATATGATGGCATGATAATTGTCTTCGGCCGAATGGCCTTGAGTCCCGGGAACAAAAGCGAAAAGTTGCATCATCATGCACCGTGCATGTTGTCAGCAGTCGTACTGAACCTCATTTCAAGGATTAGGTCAGTCAGCCATTAAGAATTGAAGAATAAATAACCGCGGCAGTAACAGCAATAAATGTAATAGTAACAGGTAGTAGTTTCATTATCAATAACAACATATTGACAGAGGCAGTAACAGCAGATGATACAATACTACACATGATGTTCCTGCTTCATTTCCGTAAAACCTACATATGCATATGACTCTTAAATTTTGTTGAACAATAAACTCCACCACAACAATTACTCGTATATATGCTCTTATCCCCTAACAAATTATTAAACATAATCACCTTCATTCCACAGGTGAAACAGTCCCATCTTCCCGACACAAACTCGATCTCAATATATACAAATCGAATCACTTTACTAAAAATCACACAACCTTTTAATACGAACCAGGCGTAGGACTTTCACCTCTCTCTAGTTGCCTGTGCTCAGCAGCAACCTCTCCGCACTCACCGAGACCTGTGAGCGTACTGATTACAACGAATTTCGGGCGGCTAAGGAGCGTCCTGCTGCAACGTAACCCTTCCCCCTTCGACGCAGCACTGACCCACTTCGGGCGGGGGAGCGGCGACTCAAGGTTGTGCTAGGTTTGAGCGCATCTATAATTGCTGTATGCGTGTGCTCGAATGTACGGGAGAGTGCACTTGCATTCATCGCTTTTGATTCATTCGTTTATGCGTTTGTACGCGTGTTGTTTATGTACATCTGTTCAGATATACAGGTATGTACACTTGCATGCATACACATACAAACAAACATACATACAAAAAACAACAACAAACAAACATGCACAAGCGCTCTGAAAGACATACTTATATTTATACTATCTCTCTCTCTCTCTCTCACATACACACAGATATATATATCATACACATACAACCCACTAAAAGACGCAAACTCACACATGTGTATGCTATATGTATATATACATGCATACACATACATATAAACATATAAGTAAATAAATATATATATATACACACATATATGTATATATGTATATATATATATATATATATATATATATATATATATATATGTGTGTGTGTGTGTGTGTGTGTGTGTGTGTGTGTGTGTGTGTGTGTGTGTGTGTGTGTGTATGCATATATATGTATGTACATATATGTATATGTATGTATGTATGTATATATATAAACGTCCATTTCCCATGGATGTACATGAATGAAACGTCATACAGTCTTTCTCTATCCAAGTCCCACCAAGGGTGACACCCTTCTTTCATTGTTTTATGCAGCTGTGGACTCCTTGCTTGTAGAAGTCCACAAATTGTGTTTGAATCCATGAAGTGACTTCAGAAATCAGCTACTCATCATCTTGGAAACGTTTGCCCTTCAAAAATGACTTCATGGACGGAAAGAGGTGAAAGTCAGATGGTGCAAAGTCAAGAGAGTAAAGAGAATGAGGAAGGATGTTGTAACCACAGGACCGCGCTTCTGGGCAATGTGAGAATTGTGAACAGGGACGTTGTCTTGCTGGAGGCGGAACCTTTGGTCAACATTCCTCGCTTCTTGGTTTTGATAGCCTCCCGCAATTTTTTTTAGCAGTGAAGCATAGTAAGCTTCTGTGATTGTAGTACCTTTTACCACGAAATCCATCATCACCACTCCATGCTGGTCTCAAAGACTGTGAGCATGATCTTATGGGTCGAGTGTGTGATATGTGCCTTTTTTGGGGGGCGTGTCAAATTGCTTCCATTGTTTTGACTGGGCCTTGGTTTCTGGGTCATGGATGGACCCAAGTTTCATCCTGCATAACTGTTCTGTCAAAATCAAAAAGTCCTCCAGGTTTTCTTGGCACATGGCTAAAAGAGCCTTAGGAATAATTGACATGTTCCTGCTTCTGGAAAGGTGCGAGTAACGTGGAAACCCATCAAGCAAACAACTTTTGCATATGTAGATGGTTATTAATGATTTTGTCCACGGACCCAACACTAATCTTGACATTTTGAGCTAGCTGACAGACAGTAATAGTGCGATCTTCCAAAATGGCAGTCTCCACTTGATGGTTGGTATCCTCATCGATGGCAAACTAGGGTCGCCCTACGAAAGGAGCTGTTTCTACACAACGTCATATAATGGGGCATTCTCCCACAAGTTGCTTTCATTTTATCGGTCTCTTGTGGTGTTCAAGTATAAATCAATAATAATCCTAAAAAACGCAGCAATACAAAACAAATAAAAATTGACAGAAAAAAAAACAGCAAATGGCAGAGAGGTCTTGCCCGGCCCAGTAGCGATGGAGGAGTGCCCACGGCAATCCTCCCCAGGAATTCAAGGCAGTAAGCAAGACGGTGACGCTGGGGGGGGGGGGGGGGGGGCTACGAACGTCGCTGCAGGAACTGTCTGGTTACAGTAGCTGGCATGTTTTCTAATTAAACTTTAAGTGATTCTGACGACATTACTGTAATGATATATATGATTATATGATATATATGTGTATATATATACATATATATATATATATACATATATATATATATATATATATATATATAAATATATATATATATATATATATATATATATATATATATATATATATATATATATATATTTATATTACACACACACACACACATACATGCATATACATACATGTTAGATACATGTATACATACATGTATATATAGACAGATAGATAGGTAAATTGATATAATAAACACACACACACACACACACACACACACACACACACACACACACACACACATATATATATATATATATATATATATATATATATATATATATATATATATATATATTAGGCTACCATCAGTCGATGTCGACAATGGCATAATTGTCTCTACCCACTCCCCTATAGGTAGAGTCAATGCCTGGGCGAAAGAATATGAGGAGCACGCTGTTGCCCATGCAGCAGGCTCCCTCTCCCCACGCAGCTGATGGATCCAAAGGAACGGCAAAGACCGATACGGTTTGGCACCAGCGGTGTTGCAGGAGTTGCCAGAACGAAGTCGCAAACGACAACGAACTGCCTCATGGATTCCGGCTCCAGATTTTTCCTTAGGGTTGACTCAACTCATAGACGCCACAAGGCAGTGGTTTGTTTTGTATAGGGTGAACTCCCATAGCCTTTACCCATACACGGACAAAACTAAAAATATTAGCAATTATTTCAAGTCTTGTAGACGTTTCATCAAAGTGTCATCGCACACAGAGCGCCCCGTGACCCATCGGGTTGTTTACGTGTGCAAGATATATTATGATTATTATAGTAGCTGAATTTTGAATGGCTTGCACCCAGTGCCATATCACATGCTAGATTTATGAGTTATAACTTAACTGTCCTTACAACAATTATTTTACTGCATTTGCATAAGTTACTTCAACGTTCCTACCATGGTATATCATTATTGTCATTTTCATAATGGTAATGCTGACCATTGTAAATGGTATATGATAATACAGTGATAGTAATAATAACAGTGATAATAGTATTGGCAATAACAAAGACCGTGATGATAACAGAATAAAAATTGTACATCCACATTGTGCTGATTCACTAATCACGCCGACTACTCCTGCTATATTTCTATATTTCGTTAGTAGATGTCGATAGGAATGTCTTGATAATTGATGGATTTGAAGATGCAAACTGGGTCTAGAAAAAAGCTATTCATACTTATACTTATTATTTTTATTATTATAGCTAAGATGATAACATAAATCGTAATGATAATGATAATGACAAAAATAGTGATAATAATAATAATTATTGTTATTGTTAATTTTATTATTCTCATTATAATCATTACCATTATTGTTGTTATTGCCATATATAATTAATATAATATATATGGAAAACAAAAGAAATTGTAATATTCTATTATCTGTGGAGCTTTAATGATAAATAATGTATTTGTTATCCCCGTAAATTCTTGTTTCCCATTTAACAGTAATCATATAGTATTTTATGAGTTTAAAGATAAATGTAAAGTCACGTAAAGAAATTCAAACAATTATTTATCACCTGTTTATCAATGCTGCCTACCATATCAATTGCACGCCTGTGTAGGCGGAGCTTAAAATTGAAAGCACTTGAAATTCGGCAGCCAAAAAAATTCAACTGCTTGCGAGATATTGCAGATAGGGACGCTGCAGATAAAACCTATAAAAATTCTGGATGAATAATGTACCTCGATATTACCTACCCCTGTCTTTTAGTCATTATAATTATTATTTTTTAATTTCAGCGCATTGCTAGCCTTTCTTCTTTTTTTGCAGATTTTTGTTGGAGTGGCACTGTTTATGCACAGACGCCGATAACATGATATGGTAAATATATTCTTATTGGCTGACTAGGAAGGAATCTATCCAACAGCAATAGAGTTATCAAGGGCACAAGGTCAGCCTTTTTTGTGTGGGTCTTATCTTTCACACCACTTAATTTAAATCTTTTTGACTGATGTTTTTTACAGTCTAATATCATGATTATAGTATTATGGGTAAAATCAAAATTACTGATTGTAAGTTCTATCTTAATCTAAGATAAATTTATGATATATGTCGGGTACTATATAATGCACCAATGACAGAATATCTCGTCTTACTGTATGCACTACTCTTTTTATTTATTTTTAAGATTTCTGATGAAGCAACTTGTAAGTCATGCTGAAGAATGGTTACTTAATCTGCAAACATTTTATAGACCAAGGGGCATTTTACTTGTATTTATTCCTTGTCATAAATAAAGTCTGAATCGGAGAAATGCGTGGAGTTCCCAAAGCCTTGCAAAGCCAAGTGGTGTGAAAAAGTTGCAGAGCAGTCTGATTTTTTCTTATTTATTTTTTTTTTATAATTCCTTTATTCTAACAAAAATCATGCCATGCTGAGTAATCGCTATAAAATATTTAAAGGGTAATTCCCTTTTTCAAAACTCTTATCATACATTTCGATATCTCTCTTTTAGCCAACATTTAACATGATTACAGTTTGTTGTGATTTCAGAATACTTAAAAAAAAGCTTTATTATACTTATATTATTTTTTGATGCATTTCTATTCTATAAAGATATCCATAAAAAAACATGGAAACGTTTTTTTCCAACGTTTCCATATTTGGTCTATCCGGCTCACATAATAGATGTTTCTATAAAAATATCTTTCATGCTACCAAAAGTACCCCAAACTTTCAATTTCTCTAAAACAATATAAGAAATATTAGAAAATAGATGATACAATGAAGTTTGCAGCCATTTTGATAACCGGTTAGATATTTTGTATCGATAAAGCAACCCGACATTAATAAAGGCAGGAGCTAGTGATATGAGTGCTGTGTCGCGCCGTCTCTTGGGTTTTCTTATATTCCTTTTAAATATTAATGCGTTAGTTGATTAATCTTATGTTACGGTAAGAATGAAAGATGAGGCAGTATAATATACGTCAAAAGAGGTTGCACATGGAAGACAAACGGTAGAATATTAGTATTTTGCATACGAAGTCATTTCCCACGACCCTTGGCCCAAGCAAAGGTGAGCAAAGTAAGCTGATTTAAAGGGCTTGTCGTTTGAAAATATTTATGAAATGGCTACTGTGGGTTAAGGGCATTGATAGCCTATAGGTATTTGCATTATACATTACTCTAGATAAAATTTGCCTTGGTATACATCGTTGTATATACATGATTTCCCCGGTATACTTCATGCCCTCCCCTGCTATCGTGACTATCAAGTCAAGATTGTCGATGGAGATGGGGATCATATCTCCTCAACGATTCATTTGCACAAGGAGCAATGCCTAGAATCGTTGAAAGCAGTGGATTTCATACAGAAAAATATCTAAACTATTTCGAAAGTAACCCACTACCCTCTTCTACATATTGACATGTAATTCTGTATATTACAAATGCTCTTGCCAGAGTCTAAGGCCATGTCACAATTTTTTTTTTTTTTAATAATCCAAGTTGCAGTGACTGAGCATGCCCTACAGGCACCACCTAATGAGAGGGTTGATTGAAGGCTCTTTAAACTCATTGTTTTTATAATTAGCATTATTGTTAACAAATTTCATGGAAGAATTTATCCTTTAGTGAGTGGAAGCTGTAAGCAGTATAGTTAAGCAGTCTTTGATAGTTAAGTAAGGGCATCAATATTTGATTAGGAAATTAAGACGGAAGTTCTGTTTATTCATGTACTTTTTCATGCATTTAATTTTGAATATTGAAATATAAGTTGTAATGGTTGCTTAGTCAAATATGAGTTGTAATGAATGCTTAGTCTTTTTTTATATTGTGTATTTAACAACAAGGCTTATGTTGTTATACAGGAATGCACTAGTGTTACCAGATAATATTCCAGCTCAATAACCTTAGGGAGACTGTGAATTTATTTGACTAGCTATACCAATTTTGCAACCTCAGTACCTGTCCAATGAAAGGCAAACTCACCGCTATGATGTATATTTTGGCATGATATAACTTGTACTGATCCGTAACAATATATTGCCAATTAAGGAACCAAAAAAATAATTATGGAGGTTTCTTGGCAAAATGTGAAGCCTGGAGACTACTTGACTCTGTGACAGACCTTAGATATTAGACCATTCATCTTAAATCAAAGGAAGTTGTGAGTGAATTTGGATAGGATATAGCCAGTATAATTATGAGAAAATGTTCCATTGTGTTAGCTACTGTGTATGTCTACTAGACACTTTCTGTGAGTTTTCTCCCATGCACTGCACAACTTTGTTATTGATAATATATGAAGAAAATGCCATAGATAAAAAGTACCTTATATTTGGTACTTTTTAGTGCAGGCAAAGATTACCTTATACCATATATATGGTTATGTGAAACTAAAACTGTAACCTTTTTCTTTTATCATGTAATATAGACTTTAAATTATATGATAGATAAGCTTTATAATTTATAAGTAAATAGGTTTATCATGTATATGTAATTTATGTGTAGGTTTATCATGTAAAAAGTAAGTTTTGATATAGGTTAGATATATCATCCATCATATAAGTTAATGTACAAGACAGGTTGATCATTCATTGGTTATGTTTACATTGTAAAGAGTAGGTATTTTAAACAATAAGTTCATTATGTATAACGTTAGTATAGGATTTTAGATTCAAGGAGAGTCTGAGGTATCGGTAATATATTTGTACATAGGATGGGTATATGTATAGGACATTTATTTGTAGATTTGGTTAATGTTGATAGATATAGGTACAGATTATATATATGTTTTAGATGAAATAGTATTTAACACTGATTGTATAATTAAAAAAATATATATAGTAATAGATATTGCTGGTATGTATTTTCATCAGAAAATGGAAGCCATGGAAGGAGATAATTCTGACTATGAGAATGAATTAGGCCCAGTACCTGTGAGTGAGCTTCAGAAGCAAGTAGAAGTTGGGAAGTTAATTGACAGAGCTTTTGAACACGTCAGGCACAGCCAAGCAGCAGAAGAAGTAGCAGGTGAAGTAATTGGGTTGTATTTGGAAAAGAAAAGAAATAATAACTGTAAAATATTACATTATGTTAAGTGAAAACTCTGGATTTCATTTTTAAGCATTCTTAATATATTTGTTTTTCTTTCTTTCTTTCATATCAAAACCCCTTAATTTTGTCTTAGGTATGGTACTGCGTTATCTTCCTTTACTATTTGAACTAATGCCATTTTGCCTGTACTGGGTAACAATAATTTTTTTAACCACATTTTGCAACTTATTTTGTTTATCAGATATTGTAGCTGGTGCAGAAGGTCTCCATCTTTTTGATGGAGTTGCTGCAATACAGGACCCTTTAGCTCCGGAGATTCAGGCAGGCAACTTTAGGGCATTGCACTCTTCCAGTGGAGGTATGTATCAAATTTGAGAGTTATGACATATGTAATGCTTAAATTTGTCGAGTGCTTATGAGTACTTTGGAATATCAATGCTATTATTAAAATTGTTTAATTGGAATGTCATCATTTGTCTTTTTTGGCAGTGTACAGTATTTCCAAAGATTCACAATTCTCAGGTCAAAGATAACTTTCTTTGCTAATAAAAAAAAAAAAAAAAACCTTGCTTTACAGTTCATCAGCATATGCATCTTTTTTCAAATTTCCAGTTGGGTCTGATGGAACTGGATCTCGGAGTATAAACCTTCGCTACTCAGGCACAGCAAGCAACGATGCTCAAAATTTTGCTGGAAATGGTGACACTGTTGATGATCTTTTAAAAGCAGCGCCATCCTTGGAGACATTGCACAAGCTGAACTTAACACTTCAGAAACGGATTGAAGACAAAATAGTCCAACTAGAGAGGATATTGCAGACAAACCTTGCTAGACAGGTCTCAGTTGTTATTTTAGTTCATTTCAATGGGATTTAATCTCTGTTTCAATGTTTTTAGCACTTGTATAATTTAGTTGAAAGAGTTCAAATGAGTTATCTTTAATAATTTCATCACTTCTTGGTCACTTATTGGTCACGGATCATATCCAGTATATGTAAAAAAAAAAAAAAAAAAAAAAAAAAAAAAAAAAAAAAAAAAAAAAAAAAAAAAAAAAAAAAAAAGTAAAATAAAATAAAAATAAAAATATGAATCCATAGGTAAATTTCTTTATAAGTAAATTTAGGTGATATTTATTTTCAGGCACATCTAAAAGATGAAATATCACAAGACAGAGCGACCAGTGACCAGGAGAAGAAGGGAGATACAAGGGAAAAAGCACCTTTCCGAGTTTCAAATTTTTGCGTTCCCTATTTCAAAAATCGTAGTGGAATGAATGCTCCTAAGAATGAAGATGCTAGGTTCAAGCTCGACAATGGCTGCCTGGACCTTTACACAACACGGGCACGCCAGTGTATGTAGTATTAAGCGTTTACAATCACATCTTGATTTTGATTGAGGATAGTTATGTGAGGAAGCCATTGTCACATTGTTGTTGCGAGATTTGTGCGTGATATTTATTTGGAGGTATAATTTCCAGAAATTTTCATGATTGATGATGATTGTCTTGATAATTTATTATAAATTGTTATTATTATAATTGTTTGTATTATTAATGTTACTATTATAATTATCATCATCATAGTAGTTGTAGCCATTGTTGTTATTGTTATTATTTGTTATTATTGTTCTGGGTATTATTGTAATAATGAAAATATTTTCATTGTATTACTGAAGATATAATGCATTTGTTTTTGCCTTTTTTTTTTTCAGGGAAGGCCAGGGAAAAGGAGGCCTTGAAAGAGAGTGTGCACAAGGAATGGAAGCAGCAGCTCATAGACACAAAGGAACTGAAGCAGAGGGATCTCCAGAGAAGGCTGAGGAACGCCGACACCAGCAGCGTGAGTATGTGGGGTGACTTGTAGAGCAGAGTACCAGAATCAGATGCTGCAGATCAGTGGTTAGTGTCTCAGTGTTTATGAATAAATTCCTTATCCATATCCCCTTTTGAAAACCAGGTGTTAATTTTATGGTACTTGTAATTTTTTAGGAAGAAACATCGTTGGAAGAGATGAAAGAAGACATCGAGAAGCAAATTAGGGAATTAAGATTGACACCGGCAGAATCTCTAACACCTCCCCCACATGAAAAATTGGACTGGGAGAAAATAGCAGCGCAGACAGTAAGTTTTATTTATGTGAATGTACATCGGGTACACCAAGGGCCGTAACTATCAGGCTGCATAACTCCCATTTGGGGGACGGCAGACAGACAGGCAGGGCCCATGACACTTCTTATGATGGCCCTGCATACACCATAGCTTCCCCTGTCTCTCTTACTTTTGACTTTCTCCTTGTCTTTGTGTTATTGTTCACATCAGTATCACGATATTGTCATTATTATTATTATTATTATTATTATTATTATCATTATTATTATTATTATTATTATTATTATTATTATTATTATTATTATTATTATTATTATTATTATTATTATTATTATCATCATTATTATTATCATTATTATTATTATTATTATTATTATTATTATTATTATTATTATTATTATTATTGCTATTATTATTATTATTATTATTATTATTATTATTATTATTATTATTATTATTATTATTATTATTATTATTATTATTATTATTATTATTATTATTAACCCATTGCTGCCGGAGAAAATGAAAAAAAAAATGGGGGAAATGCAGTACTCATTTTTTATATTTTTGTGAAATATCTCTGTCCATAGATGGCTCTGCTAGTCCTGATTTCACCTTTCCTTGAATTGGCGGAAAAAAAAACGTATTTTTACTAGTGCTATAAATATAGATGGTGTTATTTTTAACAGCAAATTAGGATAACGTTAAATATTTTCGTAAATTGATGAAAAGGGTGAACGGGCGAGACAGGCAGTACTCGTAATTGGCTCATTGGATACTTAGTACAAGTGTAGCCATCTATGTGTAAAAACAATCGAACAAGTCGACTCACAGTGGGCATGGCATGTACATACATGCCATCCCCGGCGGCAATGGGTTAATATTATTATTATTATTATATTTTCTTTTTACAATCCGGGAAACTTTGGGATGGATTGATTTGATGGCCTTGTCAGGTTCTCTTTATAGAGAGTAGAATATTGTTAGGATTCTGATATTTAGAGGCAGTTAAAATACTCAAAAGGTATAGAAAGAATCTCTAATCTATTTATAGTTTGATGGCCATCGAACTTCTGATGAGTGCAGCTTGCAGTGGGAGAACCTTCTTCACCCTACCATAAATACTTCAGATTGGGATCCTAAGGAAGATATGGCTATTCAGGTATGATGATTTTAAAGAATTTAGAAGCAATGATTGACATTACTTTTCGTAGTGCAAATCTAACAGTGCAATAATATTTACTGACATTAATATGCAACTGACAGTGCAAAGCACTGTTATTAACATATTACTAATTTTAGAGGGATGTGCAAATTTTTAGTGTCAAGTAATGTTTCCAGGAACTGGTGACATCAAGCAAGCATGACATTCCAGACTGGAGCAAAATTGCATTAAAATTAAAGACAAACCGCACAGGATATCTGGTGAGTGTAAATGCCCATAGCAGTACATATTGTACGAATTGTAATTCTGAAAAAAAAGAATAATGTATAATAATGTCTTAATTTTTCTGATTTTCACTTCAGTTGTTTGCTACAGGTGATGCAGCGGTGGGTATCATTTATTGCTCCTGCTCTAAACCCTGCCAAGTGGACACCAGAATCAACTCAGAAATTGATTGACACTGTGAACATGCTTAGGGTTAGCAACTGCATTCCATGGGCACAGGTATAGTATAAATTGATTATTTTGGTAAGATTGCTATATTAAGATTGTAATGTTTGGTAAATATTGTTACTTTGTATCAGAATAATGTTTTGAAAATGTTCATGTATGATTTTAGAATATCGTAATTGGGGTAAAAGATAAAGAAATATGTATAGTATATATATCACTTATCCCTCAACAATAAGATGCAGCACTGTGTATCAAGCAACACATATTTATTTTCAAGGCACACAGCAATCTCAGGCTGGTGACTTGTTAATGCAGAAATGAACAAAAATGAACCAAACCATTCTTTAGAACAGATTTGTGCTTTTTATATGTACTGTAGCCCCTATCAGGAAGAAGCCATTGATCAGGTGATTACTGTAAAGAAGTCAAGGCATCAGAGATAGGAATTATCAGGCTTTGTGGAAGGACGATAGTTGACAGAAATTAGACAAATTTGAGACAGGTTACAGGTAATGAGATATCAACCCAGAAAATTTACTGATCTAATTTACTGATCTAATTTTGCATGTTGTAAAGCCTGTTGTAGGGGCTAACCTTCTTAATAAAGCTGGATTAGTGAAGGAAACCATACCTAGGGTGTTTGGAGAAGTGTGTTATGAGGTGAACTGACCTGCCCCCTCCCCTCCCAAAAAGTTTGCAACCCGTAGTATTTCCTTGGTTTTGTGCTCTACCTCCTTTAGGTAACTTAAGCTTTGGTTTTCGTGGATAAATCCTTTATTGTGACCATAGGATATACCAAAAAATAAAGAAAGATGAAAGATGCACAGTCTTGATGAATCTGGACATGTAGGGTGTTTATAGTGCATCTGTGGCTATCCATGATTGAATGAGTAAAATGCATCCTGGGATTGGTTGTGCATTGTTTTAAGCCATAACATCAGGAAATGTTTTACATTTAAAACTAATTTCTTTATTGGATAAATGTGTGATATTCATAACTTCCTTAAATGCAGCACACACACACACACACACACACACACACACACACACACACACACACACACACACACACACACACACACACACACACACACACACACACACACACACACACACACACACACACACACACACACACACACACACACACACACACACACACACACACACACACACACACACACATTTTATATTGCAAGGTGTGGAGCCATAGCATATATTAAATTGTCTACCATAGTGTTGGTGATGGTTCATAAACCTAATTTGGTAGTATTGCTAGTATCTTTCAAAACATTTTTCATATATCATTTATTTAATGTATTTTATAGTTTCTACATTTTTTTGTGTTTTCTATTTCAAGTCAAGTCATAGTAATGAATGCAGGATGTGTTTAAAAATTAAGCTAATTTTTGCTCTGTTTCTTTCAAGGTTCATCAACATCTTGTGGGTTTTAGCCGTCATCAAATCCAAAGTCGGTGGCGACAAATCAACCCTGAACAGTCAAAGGGTCCTTTTACAGTGGAAGAGGACTTCATTCTTATAAAAGTAAGATAGTATGACATTGTTTATATTTCTGTTAGAGTGACAGTTAATTTATTTTTTTTCTACTGCATGATAAGGATTTTCATGTCCGCTTAATATACTTGTAGTTATTCAATCTTTATTTAATGTTTTTCATAATAAGAGTGGAAAGTCAAGATATGATGTATGGTTGTAAGCAATTCACAATTTTTTATTATTACTTTTGACCTTTTTATCATTATTGCTATTGGTGTTTTCATTGTTTTTTTATATCTAATTTATTCATATTATGGCAGAAGTAAAAAGAGTTTATATCAATATTTGAGGAAAAAGGATTATTGAATAAAAAAAGGGCAAAATATGGGGAAGGCAGTGGTACTTTAACCAAAGTCTCTGGGGAAATGTGTTCACTGTAGTATTGTTTTGTGAAATGTCTCTGCACATAGAAGGCTCTACCAGTGCTCAGTCTCAAAGGAGTCAGTTTGTAGACCTTTTTGACCTGACCTGATTTCATCTTTCCTTGAGTTTGTAGGAATTTTTTTTGTTTACTAATGCTATCAATATTGTGATGCTGTTATTTTCATTATAGACAGTATAATTATTATAGTGTTATTGATATTACTAACAGCAGTATTAGATACCAGAAAATATTTTTGAAAATCAAGAAAAAGGGTATACAGGTGAAAGAGGTAGTACTTTTAATTGCCTCATTGGTGGAGCCATCTTTGTGTAAAAACAATAAGCAATGAATGGGCATGGCATATATGTACATTCTATCCCCAGCAGCTTTGAGTTAAGGGAATTGAAAGATGTGAACAGGGGGAGTATGTTCACATTTTTTTTATCATTAAAAGATAACTGATATAATAATACTTAGTTATATTGTCATGTAAAAATAGGACAATATGTAGTATAAGGTAGTGGCAGTAATAAAACCTACATGAAATGATAGAACAATACAAACTAAGACAAAGTTCTTCTATGGCAATATGTGTGCAAATGCTTCCCAAGGGTACTAGGCATATATATTACCACAGGGGTCCTGGGGGCAGAGCCCCCTGGCTAGGGAATATATACCACGATGTTAGGTTAGTGGATGTTGGGTTATAACGTTTTGCTTAACAACCACGGGGGTCCTGTTTTACCCCATAATTTTCCTGATATACTTCATGCCCTCCCTTGCTATAGGGACTATCAAATCAAGATTGTCAATGGAGATGGTGATTGTATCTCCTTAACCCATTCGCGCCGGGTGTCACGTATACGTGACAGGCCCACTGTGAGTTTACTTGTTTAATTGTTTTTGAACATAGATGGCTACACTTGTACTTGTACGGCCTGTGTCGTCTGTTTACACTTTTCTTTAATTTACGAAAATATTTTACGTTATCTGATTTTGCTGTTACTAATGTTCATAACATTATAGTAATTATAATGTTTATAATAAAAATAACCATCGATATTCGTAGCACTAGTAAAATATACATTTTCCCGCCAAATGAAATCAGGTAAGGCAGAGCCATCTAGTGTAGAGAAATTTCACAAAAAGTATAAAAAATGAGCATAGCATTTTTCCCCATTTTTTGTTAATTTTTACCCGGCGTGAATGGGTTAATGATTCATTTGCACAAGGAACAATGCCTAAAATTTTCTGGATTTCATGCAGAAAAATATAAAAAAAATTTCAAAAGTAACCCACTACCCTCTTCTACATATTGACCGAGGGATCCTCTCTTTTCTTTTATGCATAGCAGCCTTGGGAAGCATTTGCACACATATTGCCATAGAAGAACTTTTTCTTGGTTTGTATTGTTCTATCATTTCATGTAGGTTTTATTACCCAACTCTGCCATTACCTTATACTATATATTGACCTACAAATACCTTTTCTTTTGTCAGATTTCTTCATATGCATTTTCAGTTTTTTTCAAGTGTTGTAACAGACTTTGCTTCATAAAAGATATAGAATTCATGATATAAAATTCTAGTATGTATTGCATATTTTAAAAAGTTTTCTCTGTGATATTTATATACATTTTTTCCATTTCTTCCCTTGCAAGGGCTTACACATGTTTGGCTTGAATTTTTCAAGCATTGCCCACTTCATGCCAGGTCGATCGTATGCCCAAGTTCGTGATAGATACAAGCGAACTATCCTGCCAAACTTAACCTACAAACCCTGGACAAAGTATGTTGCACAGTGATTGTAGATTTTGGTTTAGAGAAGTTGCTTTACATTTGTGAATGTTCTCTCTCTCTCCTCTCTTTCTCTTTTTTCTCTCCTTTCTTTCCATTCTCTCTCTCCTCTGTCTCTTTTGTATATATAAATGTATATATGTGGAAATATATGTATATTTGTATATGCGCGCGCGCGTGCGTGCATGCGTGTGTGTTTGTGTGTGTTTGTGTGTGTTTGTGTGTGTTTGTGTGTGTTTGTGTGTGTTTGTGTGTGTTTGTGTGTGTTTGTGTGTGTTTGTGTGTGTTTGTGTGTGTTTGTGTGTGTTTGTGTTTGTGTGTGTGTGTGTGTGTGTGTGTGTGTGTGTGTGTGTGTGTGTGTGTGTGTGTGTGTGTGTGTGTGTGTGTGTGTGTGTGTGTGTGTGTGTGTGTGTGTGTGTGTGTGTGTGTGTGTGTGTGTGTGTGTGTGTGTGTGTGTGTGTGTGTTTGTGTTTGTGTGTGTGTGTGTGTGTGTGTCTGTGTGTATGTATGTATATATGTCTGTATGTTTATATGTGAACCTATATGTCAATATATCTGAATGTATTTATGTATATATGTATGTATGTGTGTGTGTATATATGTATGTATGTATGTATGTATGTATGTATGTATGTATGTATGTATGTATGTTTATATGTGAACCTATATGTCAATATATCTGAATGTATGTATGTATATATGTATGTGTGTGTGTGTATGTATGTATGTATGTATGTATGTATGCATGTATGTATGTATGTATGTATGTGTCTATGCATGTATGTATTTATGCATGCATGTGTGTATGATTGTATGCATGTATGTATGACTGTATGCTTGTATGCATATATGTATGTATATATGTATGTATATATATATGTAACTATATCTATCTATATATCTTACTTATGCATCCAGTATATATCTACTGTATTGGTATATCTATCTATCTGCATAGATAGCTATAGTTATAGTAAGATAATGAAATCAAAGTGTTAGCTTTAGTACTTTTTTCAGAGAAGAAGATGAAATTTTGATTCAGGAATGCCAAGTTGGCCCTCGCAATTGGCGTAAGATGATCCTGCAGCTGCCAAGGCGAAATGCCTGTCAGATCAGAGTGAGATATCACATTCTCCAAGAATGGCAGACCCTGACAGACAGTAATTTGGTAAGATTTGAACCACTTGTATTTCTCAATATTCACTTAGCTAATGAAGGATCTGTCTTTACATGCAGTGGCTAATATTAGTTATGTAGTCTGGAAATGGGTTACTGATCACTTGCACTACTTAGGTTATGCATTCACTAATGTTGATTTTTAGTTGATTTTGGTTGTATTTTCTTAAGTACTGTATCTATTTTTCTCTTTAAAGGTGCTAATATCATTTGTTTTTTAATTAGTTTTGAAAATAACTATTATATTATGTAGGCCCTCACTCCTTATGCAGACTTGGGGTGGTCTAACATAATCAGTTTTGTTCTGGGAGAGTTAACATACATTTATAGAAAATGAATGAACTATAGATATATGCTTATGCGCAGTGTATATAACATTCAGCATGAGTGCATGGCATGGTTGCAGGCTATACAATCATCATTAGGGCCAGAGTGTTCCCAATTGCGCCTAATTATTTTAGATAAATATTTTTTAATGAAAATCAGTAAAAAATCTAAGTATGATGAATTTGATAAGTACTGGCTTGTAAACAATCATACACAAATATTTTGTTTTATGTTTATTTTGTTCATAAATTGCTTCAGACCACCTCTTTTAATTGCAATAATGGTGTACTGAAGGAGCTGTGTCCATTTTATTTATTTATGTATTTATTCATTTATTTATTTACTTATTTATTTATTTATTTTAGCTCGTAAGAATTGAAAAAAGTTGGAAAAGTATAGATTTTATTTTTTCCCAATTTTATTGTCCTATAAAATCTATGTGAAAAAAAAAAATAGCGGGGACAGTTCCTCTGCATAGGTTTTGTAAATAAAGTAAGACTGGTCCCTTCTTTATAGGTCAGAGACTGCAGTCTGGGAATAAAAGCATATTCTCTCTCTCTCTCCCTGAATGACATCAAAGTTGTCCCAGTCAAATGATGTTCAGTCTAACTCATTCTGTGTAAGATAATGACAAATGTTTAGCTTGGAAATGGTATTTAACTCTGCATCTT